CCCCAAAACCCCAAAACCCCAAAACCCCATTGAACGAAGTTAAATATGATTTCAGATAATCTTAATATAAATAAATACTCGCAGATATATCATCTATTTATCATTGTAAGTTATATTTATATTTCTAACAAGAATGAATACATTAGGAAAAAACTATATGCAAAATTTAAAGCTGATTACTCCTCTCTTCTGCTTCAGTGTATGCTTTATCTTCAGCATTGCTCTAAGTCATGCTAGTTCAGCTAGTGCAGTGGTTGATAGAAAATGCTTTACATAAAAGTAATTTCCGATAAAGTTTGCTGGTTTACCACAAAAAAATGAAATCGTAGATATTACTAATATATAGGAAAGTGATGGTGATTTAGTATTTGGAGGCTCTATTACAATATCAGGCATTAAATCTCCACTCCTAGGTTACTACGATTAAGATATATATTACTCTAGATTAAAGTGGATGTTTTCAATTCTGACCAGAATTTCTGATCTGGAATTCAAAAGAATTGTAGCTATCTATATTAAAAATGGCAAAAGTTATTTTACAATTAAATCTGATACCAGTGCATATTTGGCCGTAATTAAATTTGATAATTATGCTATGGAAGTAGTTAGCGCAGTAGCAATACCTGACTGTAAGCAATGGCAAAGTTTCAATCATCTATTGACTGTCGACGAAAATGGTTTTGCTTACATTATTGTATATTTTGCTGATTCAGAGCTACCAAGTATTTTAAAACTAACTATGGGTCAAGATGGCACTAGCTGGTAGACAAAATTAAACTATCCTACTGTTTTATCATCTCTGATTCCTATTGCAACTCAAAGTTCAATTCTAGTTTCTGGAATAATATAAAATCCTGGGCTAGAAAATGCTATTTTTTGTTTTAAACTCACAGATAATATCGGACATGTCACTGATTTACTGATTTATTAAAATCCATCATTACCAGAGATATTCTTGACCACTAAGGTATCTGTAGTTTACTATAATGAAGTTTAAAATACTATCCTTATATGCTATGAAAAGTATGAAATGCCATATTTTTCAGGATTTATTTACACAAACATTGGAATCAGTTAAACTTAAAGAGCTCATTTTTCTACAGATGAATATCTAAATTATCTTGAAGTGATATACCATAATACAAGATATAAACTCCTGGTCAAAATTATTTCATAAGATCAAGCAACTGAGAAATACATATTCTTTAGCTTTTATGAGGACAGTTTACTTGCAGCGAATTCAGAATTTACTCGATATGACATACAAGAAATAAAAGTACATCCAGGCTTTGCAATCTCTAATCTTTATGCAAAAAGGATGAGTGACAGAAATTATTACACAGTTGTGATAAAATCAACTTACTCCTTCAGTGTTATCTATAGTGATTATGATGATTAATAGTGCGGTGCATTCATTACTCTTGAGGATAGTACTGATTTTATTACAGCAACAATAGAGTGAATCATAGAACCTTAAGATTATTTGGGTACTTTTGGTCCAATTTTCCATGAGAGTTTAGAATTTTCATTTCAAACTGCAGATACCTAACTCATTTGTTAGATAGAAGAGACTTACTCTAAGATGTAGTGGAATTTGAAGAAACTATTGACTAATGTGGTGCAAGAGGTGGACTCTCTATTAAGTTCACTCAAAATCTTAACCTAAATATTTCAAATATTAGGTACTATATAGAGAATTTACCTAATTCTAACTACAACCTTGGCTAATATCAGCTTTTACTAAAAGATCTTACAAATCAGTAATAAGTGTCATTATGCCCAGACTCATACTAGTTTCTGATTACTTTTTAAAACATTGGGATTTAAACAAAGAAATTTTATCTATATAAAAAAAACGAATCGATCATTCTAGATTCCACTTAAGTAGAACAACTGATTACAAGTGAGGTAAATAAAATACATACTATCAATGTAACTGCCTAATTTCTATTAAGCGATCAAATTTATGCTACAAACTAAGATTTATAGTTTCAAATTTACTATGGAAGTTGCATAGATGATTTAATGTTTGTGACAACACTTCAAAATATAAATGATATCAAAATATCCAAAGGCTAATAGGAAATACTCAAACTATAATTTACTATTTCAGAATTAAACCTAAAAGATTGCTCAAGCATTGTCTCTTAACTAATTACTCCAAATAATGACTTTCCATTATAGGATTATATAGAAATAGCCTTCAATGATCCTACCCTTTAAATATTAATAAATCCATTACCAGATAATGCTAAAGCTAATAACTATGAATTCACTGTTTAGTACTATGCAAGCAGTAAGTCTCTGGGAAAGTAAAATTTCAGGATTATTATAGCAGAACCTTCTTCAAATGCACCATAATTCGTGAAATCAATATCTGATCAAGTGATTATTTGTGGCTAAAATATTATACTTACCATCCCTGAAATAGTGTATTAGGATTAAGATTCTTGTCTCGTTTTATTTGAGTAAAATATTGGGAAATAATTATCATAGCTAAAAATAATAGCTGATAATAAAATATCTCTTAACCCCCTCTGCATTTCTTATGGTTCTTATCCTATTAAGATAAAAGTATTTGATAAAAACTACCCTTAAATTTTCAATAAATATTAGTTTTAAGTAACAATACTTCCATAGACTTCTTACTAAGATCAAGTTGACTAAAATAATTCTGCTAATAATTAGACTAATTTAAATTATGAAAATAGCTTTACAAAAAACTAGAAGTATTTAATAGCTAGAGTTAAGAAAATATCAAATTAAGGATTGTGTACAGTAGTTTTTAGTAATGATTTAAAAATTATAAAAGATTACTAAGCAAAAATGGATAAGAGTTTAGAAATTTAATTGCTTTAAGAGGGAAAGGATTCAAGGAGAGTCAATTTTGAAATTTAAACTATTGCAGGTTAGTACTTAAAAATTCAATTAAAGTTTGATATTCCATCAACTTAAATCTCCAGTTTGGGCTAAGTAAGTTCATTATTCTTAACATTTTTAGCAAGATTAAATTCAGATCAAATTTATTCTTGGAAGGATATATTAGTCAATCTAAAGTAAGGAAGAAATATTTATTAAAGATAAATATACTATTAATGGTAAAATTCCTCCATAGCTAGATTTAGGTATATTTTTCAATAAATATTTGCTAATAGAGGATATTACTTGGCAAAACTTCCTTTCAAAATCAGTGAAATGGTCTATAACGGTTATAACTGGAACTAATTTAGCGACAAATTTCCTTTTGTAATTATTTATTGTTTGATTGGCATTTTAATTAGAGGCTATGGACTTTAATATATTTGGAGTATGATTAATGGATTATAGCTATTCAGCCACTTGCCTTTAATGAATATATTGATGCCAGCAAACACTCAGTACTTCTTTAGCTTTATAAATGACATTGCAAGTTTTA